AACATTAGCACCTTTGCGCGGGCTTCAGATCGAAAATTGGGTTCGCGCCGCAATTTTGCTGTCCGAGGTGGCAAAAAGGAGGGTCGTCGGCGATCAAAACTAGTCCCGACGTAATGAATACAATATTCTCAGCTGAATGAACACTGACAATAAATGAGGGATGCGAATTTAGAGCTGCAACCAGGAAGAAAACCTTAAAAAAAAAACGAGCCCTTTACTTCCCAGCTGAAACCGTTTAATTGCGACAGATGAACAGACTTATGAGCCACTCTATAATTGCAATTAGTGAAATACCCATTGTTAATCGATAGAAGTTTTCCAGCACAATTTTCCTCGCGTGTCCGCATGATAGTGTTCAATGAACAAAGACAAATCGACGCCATGTAAGGGGATTAAGCAAGGTGGTAAAATATTAAAGATTTTTCTAATTGCACATCTAATGAATCCCTGTTGAATTGCAACCATATACATCCAATCAAAGCCATAGTAAAATGTTGTGGATGCACTTTTCTAGCCAATGATGTATCGCGATGCAATGTGAGTGACATTTTTTGGGTTTGTGTATCGTGAATGCTTATTTTTGCCGACTGAAAAACGAACTGATTGAAGGGAAGTTGGAAGGATGAATGATGCATCCTCTTCGCCAATTGAGATACCATTCAGCCCATTTCTCTCGGCTATGTATAAATCACTTCTGCCATATATAGCAAAATGGCAACAACACAGCCCTGATGATGCTGAGTTTTAAACCACACTCACGGGGGAGGAATTCTCACAAAATCATCCTCCATGTGACCCCCAGTCGGCCCCTCGGCAGCCCATCCTTGAAGAGAGAGTCGAATTGGAAGGTGTTGAACGCGACTCTGTGAATAGGAGCATAATGAGCGCCATTGGGGTGCACAAATCGTGCGTATTATATTTATTTAGTGACATTCTGATTTCCACCCAATTCACACCCGCTCCTCACCTTCTGCCAACCTGGCAGATGTTCTTCCGTTGGAGAACTTTGGCAGGTCAAATGTAGGATTTGGCTAGCCTAGATGGCGCCACAAGCGCCAGCTAGGCACTGCTGAGCCACCAAATATATCCTATTCTGCTGTGCATAAAGCGAGTGTGAGTGGGAATAACAATAAATCTATTGTCATAATAGCATGGCATGGATTTTGAAATCCTTGGGATGAGCTACGCAAATTGTTTACCTTAAATCCCCTAAATATGGCAATATTTGCCAGGATTTTTCAGCATAAATTGCTGTAAGAAAGATGGCACGGCAACTGAAAAGATTGTGCCAATTATTTTCATGCACAAACAAGGGTGGATTCCGCAGCAATGAAGCTGAGGTAAGTGACAAATATTCCACCCTTAATTGCTTTCGAAAGTCCTCATTATATTTCGACAAGGGAGCAGATGCAATTTTCTGACTGTCATCCTCTTTCGCCTCTCTCCAAAAAATCATCCCTGGCAACTCTGCCAGCCCTGCCATGACCATTAACATGGGGCTTTGTCATCCATCCAGAAACACACAGACCTTCAAAAAGTCCCCTTGATGCCTTTTGTGGCACAATTAGTAACGCAGCGAAATCAATACTGTTCCGCAAAAATTACATACACACACACACCCTTTGTTGTGGCCACGAATTGAAATTTCGTCTAATTAGAAGCAATTTGTGCAATTTTCTCTTAATTCAACCAATGGATCATTTTGACAGAGAGCAACCTAACAAAATTTGTGCAGAAATAACGAAAACCTCAGCTCATGCTTATGCAATTTTCTCGTTGTTTGACCACTTTTGCAATGATAATTAATTGTGATTATCTATTGAAATTTCTAGGTTCATTTTAAACATTCATTGCGCTTCGTCTGTTCACTGGGGGAACCTTCTATCACAAATTTAGGCCCAAATTGTTTTATTTATTAAGTTATCATAAAGTTTTTGGTTGTGTTTTCAGTCTTAGTTCAGAACACTTCTAAAAAATTTTTGCGATATGCAAATACTTGATGTTTATTCGCATTATTCGTTAACAATGCACATATTGTCTGCATGATTCCCCTTTGATTTTATCTTATTTTCATTTTAAGCTTGATTTGAACAGTTTTGAACTAACCCTCATTTCACTAGATGACCTCCATAAATTCGCATATCTATGATCGCGCGCAATGAAGCCTACGGGGTCGACGCCAGAAAAAAATATTGGCTTAATTTTGAAATTCCCTTTCAATTAGTACTAATTTCACTGTTAAAATCTCCGGGACAGTGCAAAGGGGAAGACAGGGTGTCGAGGGTATAGAAAAAGTCAGCACAATGGCAAAATGTGAGAAGGGGGCTGCCATTTGAAATGCAGAAAAGCAGTGAGAGCGACACGGCGGGAAAAAATGTTATTTACTAATGCATTTCGATGACGTACAGACGGGAAAATGCACACTGAGTGTCTCATCTATCATCCACTTTGGCGCTATGATTTATTCCGCAGCTTCATTTTATCACTCAACAGTCCATTACCCTAATCTAGTTCCGCCCAGGCCGCCCCAACCCTCAGCCGGTGGACTGGGCGGCCCGAGCCCGGCCCCACCGAGCGACTGTGCCCACATTATACACACCATTATCATTTCGGTTGCGGTGACATTATGAGCCTCATTACCTCACCGGCACACATCATTCGCACGCCTCGCATTTCGAGTGGATTGGAATCACCTGTTTCGGAATCCTGTTAGACACCATCTCGCTGCGCACCCTGTTGGCTCAGCATAAAGGATTTTATCACAATATCCTGTGCGACTCTACGTGCCCCAACCGGCAGGCGGGGGGTGGAAGGGTGGAAAAAAGCTGTGCAAATGAATGTCGTGAGATGGAACAGTAAAATGAATTGAATGCATCATTAGTGAAAGAGTGCACACAAAATCTCCCTTCAATTTTCAATATTCTAAAGTGACTCCGACACAGGAGGTATTTACAGTATATCCCTGAGTATTGTGTCACATTCCATTATCTGCAAATGCATCCCATATTCTTCCTCTTCCACTTCCTTGGCCTCCCTTGCATAATCCCAACCTATTGTGTGTCCTCCAGTCTTTTTTGCCATCGCCTCTTTAATTTGCTAAATTGTTCCCAGGGCATAACATTTGGCGCTCACGGGACGGAAGTTGGGACTATTCAGCAAAAGCATGACCCCGCTTCAACGCATAGTATGATGGACAGTTTCAGGGATTAACACACATATAAGATGTAACAATATATACAAGACTGAATCAAAGATTACTGAATCTCTTAATTAATTGATTGAATTCTCACTGTGGTTCTCTTTAGGTGAAAACTTACACATCTAGCTTTTTAAATTTTCAATCCTATCTAGTAATCATGAAATTAGATCGGTTATCGCAGGTGGATCTGCTGTGGTCTTTACTAATATTTCAGTTTAATATGAACCACTTACTATTTTGCTAATCAGAAATCGTCACCTCAAGATAAAACATTATGTGACGTTTTCACGTATTTGCAATTAATTCTTTATTCAACACCGTCCAATCACATCACTTACATTAAATTCGCAAACACACTAGAATTAACCAATTATACATAGCACACTTTGCATAGGCTAAGACTAGGCGATAAATGCAATCGAGGTCCTCCTGTTGAACTGTGCCAGACTTCTCGAAGAGGAGGCAGGCAGCATTTCACTGCAGACAAATGATAGTTGCAGCGCAGATCCATGAGGGCGAGCGAGACAGATGGAAAGTGCATGTGGAAAACTGTGCCATAAATTGTCTCAATTCCCAGTGTGTCACGATTTTGGCCAAATTTTGAATTAAATTAACATTATAATGAAACGCAGAATGGAGCACCTCTTTGCTCCTGCCCCGGGTTGTCGTCTCCTCCTTGGGTTTGCTGGCAGTGTGGCAGTGTTGGTGGGCCCCGACATGCGTCCCACAGAGTGGGTATCGGGTTAGTCACCCACCTTCTGACGGCATTGAGGCGAACACACACACACGCACACAATTTAATTAAATCGATGGAATTAATTAAAATAATATAGCGAAAGAGGCAGAAACAGAAGGAAAAATACGGCAAAGGCAAGTGACTTAAGTCGCTCTGGAGACTCGAAAGAAATCCCTTCTACTATTGTACCCATTATTGCGCTCAGTTCCGAATGGCGCCAATTAATTTTAATGATTCCGCGTCGAGCTCATGTCATTATGTTAAGTGTGGATTTTTGAAATATTAAACACTGCGCTCTCGCTTTACGATATGCACACCGCCGAGGCGTATTGGTGTGCCCATGCTTTTTATTGTGACGAATTTTATCCTTATTATCCTGGGTTCCCCCGCGCGCGACCTCCCCAGCCGAAAAGTGCGCCTCAGCTTCTCTTCGTGTGCCTTTTAGAAAAATTGCTCCATACAATTTTAATGAAGCCAAATTGTACACGTTTGACTGAGACAAAAGATCAGTATCGCGGTGTGGGAGGGGGAGAGCATATATCTGTTTCGCTTTTTTTACCTCCTTGTATCTCTTCTCTTGATTATAAACATTACTCGCTGTAATTATTATTATCCCAGCCGTGCAGCCGAAGGAGGGGAATTGTTGGGAAGTTTAAAACCACCGCTTCAGCGATGCCGAGGCGACCACAGTGCTCTCTTTCGCGCACGTTTGGAGCAAGGGGAGAATGGCGGCTCTGGTTGTCTTACTCACCGCGGCCGACCTCAGCCGATGTTGTCGCTCGGCTGGCAGACGGCTCGCACACAATTCCACACCGACGAGCGCTACACTGTTCCATAGACGGCGAAGCGACGTGGTGTGAATGCGTGTGAGGCTAGTGTGCGTCGCAGCGCTCGACATAAGACGGGCGACGCGGTTGAGAGCAAGAAGAAGACGACAAATCGCATTCAAGAAGCCATCCCTCTCTGCGGCGTGTCGGTCTCTTTCCCGCCGGTGTGTTTGGAACACAACACACACCATCTTGCGCCAGACGCCTTATGTACGAAAGCGTAAGGTATAGTGGCAGCCGCATGGTTCGATCTTGCTTTCATTCCCGGCACTCGTTTAGTTTCAATTGATGAGTCAGAGAGTGTGCTGGTACGAGCGCGAGCCGCACATGCCTAATTAGAGCCACCCTAGCCGCCCAAAAGTGAGACAGTTGGCCCCACGAAATCTACCGTTGGCTGTATTGGTCGCACAGTTTGTTTACCCCTCAATTGCCACGGCGATACAGAAAGCGCGTCTCCGGAGCTCTGATGGTCCTTGAACCGATACAGTGCAGTGAATCTAAATTCAAACAGCCGCAGCAACGGTGCAGACCTTAAGCCAGTGAGTTTGTGCTTTGGGTGAATTCAATACGACTTGCAGAGTTGGGAGTCAAAGAATCAAAATATGCAGTGACACCGTGTGATGTGATGTTGAAGTGTATCCAATCTTCCATGTGGTGCAAATTGCATGGATTTTCCGACAGATTCCTCGTGAGTGGGCAAAATTGGAAAAGGGATTCCACAGTGTTGTCCAATTGAATTTCATCAATTGAGAACCACACAAGTGCCACATTGTCGCTGCCGCTCAGCATCCATCCAAGAGATTTTTGGGCTTTTGGGGTGGTGTGTTCTGCCATTGCCTAAATAATTCAACTGATGCTCCCAAGATCTGACGACTGGCGTCCATTCCCGGTCTAAAGCAAAAGGTAAGGCTATCATATCTGTCATCTTCGACACCCGATGCCCAATTAAATGAATATTGAAATATATGGTGGACAAATAAACAATTGAATATGACGAAGTGGCGCGCTCGTAAATCTCACGAGAAATGCGGCAGGAGAAACGGTGTGGCGCGCAATCAAGAGGCCAATTATAGTGGCGGAATTGTTGGCGGTTGGGCCATGAATGCCGGACGCGGACGAGTTTTCTCCCATATCGCGCCATTCTCTTGCGCTCCCCCCACGGTTCTCCGGGTGATTTATGATCAAACAGATTTCAAATTAGAATATAAATGTGATAGCCTAACACCATCACCACGTCACGCACACACGCGCGCCCTCTACGGCAGCTGCAGGCGGCTTAATCACAATATCATGCGGTCAATATATTCGATAAATCGGGGGCGACGGCCAAATCACTGTACGCGCCGTAGGGGAGATTGGAGCATTTGCGCGCAGTGAATGCTGCACGTTGCTTCCGCAAGTGTTGTGAGAGTTTGTGTATAGGAGGTCTATTCGTTAGGCTCGTTAGGTGTTCCCATCGGGAGAGTTAGAAAGAATATGGTTCCTCAATGTACTTTAAATTGATCGTTCTGGACAGATATTTGAAACAGCGCCTGTACTAAATCCCCAGTGTGTGTGTTTTGTATAGTTTGTGATGTGATTTACATCACGAACTCGCAAATAAAGTCATAACCGTCATATCTAAACGTGACAATACGATTCTAAACGCAACAGAGATAGACAGAGCCAGATCAGATGTCAGACATATTGAATAGTTTTCTTTTTGAACTTTTCTCACCGATTTTCTTCTAAGGGTTTGAGCTCAGAAATTACTGATTGACCACGGTGTTTCTATTTGTGAATATCCTTTCTGGACTGAACGTGTATCCTTCTGATTGAATATCTTTGAGTTGAAGAATAAAAAAAGAGGGCGAAAGTCCCTGCTCTCCCCTAAGCACACCACTGTACAGCTCAAGAGCCGATACCCAAACTCGCCTTGTGATTTATATACACCGCTGAGCACAGTGCAGTGGACAGAGGTGAACTGGGCGGTTTTAGGGCCCTTCCGCACAGTGTCCGGAACCCCCCGACTCTCCACACCACAATCCGGCAGTCTGGTCGCGATACCGGAGCCACACATTTAGGATTTGGTGTTGAGCGCAATAATAAAATGCAAACATGAGGCGGAGGTTTGAGTCTGTTACCCCCGAGATAGAGATATCGTTCTGTCGGCTATTGGACTCCGTCGTGCAGATAAGAACCGATAAATTTTACTCTAAATTATGTATTTAATATTATTTATTTACACCTATAAATTCCTATCGGAGCGCAAAGCGTGTACTTTCGATACTCCCTGGGCGCGTCTGCACTGTGGGAAAATCTCACATGGCTCAAGGGTTAGAGCTGGTCTTGCAGCGCACGAGATTGCTCGTGAAATGGTTTGAGGTCTCGCGGAGACAAGGCCCAATGCGAGGGGGTTTATCCTCGCAAGTTGAATAGTCAGACAAACAGTGAAAACACCCCAGCTAGTTGATGGGAGAATTTTGAAGGAATAACAAATGAAATTAGTGTAGAATTATACGGTACAAGCGCGGGGTAATTAAATTCACAAATTTTAATTAAACTTGCTGAAGGAGGCAAATCATAAAAGTTCATTTATACCGGCTTTTTTCGGTGTGTGTGCGCGCTGCTGCTTCTTATTTGGGCGTGAGAGTGCGATATCGTCCTGCTCCAAATTAGAATTCCTTCTATTTTTTGCCCTTCTCTCTTATCCTTATGTATGAAGGCACAGAGAGAGAGAGAGTATATTGAGACTCATAAATAAATTACAGTTTGCGTGCAGACTTCAACTATCGCGCTACCCTCGTTTTATTGAGTGGGTAACAATATAAAGCGGAGCAATAGTTGCCTGTACAATAAGTATAGTATCGGGAAGGCACATATAAATTTCTCACCAATCGATGCCACACTAACTTAATTTAATTTTCTTGTAATAATATATTCCCGAAGGTGGGCTCTTTTCACTCCTCTTCTGTCTTCGCTGGGGACTTGCAAATGCTGCCACCGCAATCCCTTCATTACAGAACATTTCTACCATAATTGCTTTGCTCACGGCACGCCGGGCAATCACTGTTGCCCCTGAGCGAGGTGGCATTTACCGGGCGGATTGGAGGAGGGCGAAGGCCCCAGAATCTATGCTGGATGACAAGACGTGCCGTGCGATGTCTCTTGATTGCTATGGGAATCGAATTTCCTAGGCGGATCCCCGAATATTCACTGTTTTTTTCAGCGATGCGATCGCAATCTAAAAATATATTTTAAATGCTGTACAATAAAACGGACAGAAAAACATTTATTAGTGGGAGGTGAAGTGTAGTTGAAGCCCCATCAAAGCTCAACGATCAAGCGCGTAGTTAATGAGGATTCTGCCCATACGACTTTGGAAGAGTTCCTAGAAATGAGGCTAATTTAGATCAAGATTTTGATTTTCACTATATTTGAGAACCGACTGATGTATTTTTGTTGTATATAATATTATTACCATTATTATAGAAATTATACGAATATGCGTGGATATAATTTATTTGTGATTTACTAAATTCCAAAACATATCTGTAATACATGCGTCGCAAAAGTGAATTTTACTTCTTTCCGACGCTAGAAACAGATGATATTTATAAGTTCAGATCTCTTTTCATCCGTTCAGTTTTCGAGATCTCTCAAGTCCATCGCTTTCTTCAAATCTAGTTTAGACTTCAAGTTTGTATTTTGCACTATAGATTCTAAGCAAGATAATCTGCATCTGCTCCCGAATTCCCTCATGAGCGTCTCTTTTCCTGTGGCCAGAAACCGACACCGAAATAATGGATATCGATTTCAACATCTCCCGCAGGTCTTGTGAGTCCCCAAAAAGACGAAACAGAGTTCCAACAATAAAAGGGCGAATTATTTCATTTCTTATTCATTCACTCTGCTGCACTTTCCTGGGTTTGAATTCATATTATTGTGTATTTTTTCGGTGTCGTGAATGATTTTGAACATTTTCCTTCCCCTTCATCTTTTCCCAATGTGAGTGTTTGTGAATTTTAACCACCAGACAACACGTCATTCTTGGTCTGTTTCACTGGCCTTTTTGCCGCGCGTCTTCGTCGCTTCGCGCACTCGAAAAAAACAATCGTCAGTGATTGTGAATATGTGCGAAAGTTTTTTGTTTTGAGAAGAAAATTCCTCTTTTTTATGGCTATTTCTGTATTGACCCTGTCCTCGTCTCACACATGGCGGGTTTTGGTACTTATATGCCATTTCGGATTGCCTTTCCTATGTGTTCTTGCTCAATCAATCGCGACCCTCCAGAAGATGTGAAATCTATGAATAGGAATTGCGAATTTGCTGCCCAACGATGTCGCGCTTTGGAAAATTTCTCGCATTCCCAATGGCACAATTGGTGAATGTGTGAAATGCCATTGTTTAGGATCTTTCGTCACGGCTGAAAGTTGAAAGGCGATTGTTTCTCCCGTTCGCAACTATTCAAATTGATAGACCAATTCCGTGGTCGGCTGAATTTCCACTATACGCCATGCCCAAAATGTCCTCCCTCTCGAAAAAAAACCTTCCTTTTCCCCATTCATGCGCGCTGTTTTGCCGTGAAATGTGAAATACTGGGCTGGGATCTCGATTCATCTTGTGGACACATCGTCCACCCCAAAAATAGATCTTCACATCTCGTCACGAAATTCAAACTGCCGGCAAACAAAACTCGAAAATCACTGGGTATTGTACAGATGGATCCATCACCGAACAAATAAATAAGACTCTCAAAATAATCTAGGCATGAGGAAGACTTGCAGAGGAGGAAAAAAAAAGTCATGTGAAGGAACAGAAAGAGCAAAATTGCTGGCTGATAAGTGCGAAGGAGGGGCAGAACGGAGACAGTGAGGCAACATGCAAAATGTGTCAACATTGATAATTTGAAAAATTTCTAAATCTCTCCCGAAGAAAACACTCATTTGGGATTTTGGGTGTGATCCAGACATGTGGAAGTTGTTTACATATGCAAAGAACTATCAATTTTTAAGTCATAACGGTCTCTTTCCTCATGACCAGAGAAGACAATATTTTCGTCTATTTATCTCTAAAAGTTCTCCAACCGCCAGACTTTAAGTCGAGTCTCACGAATTTTTATGGCTGGCAGTAGCGTAGTCAGTCTAATGAGTAAGACGATGAGATACCAAGAATTTCAAAAATATATCCAGAATTCTCATATTGAAAAGGACCAAATGAAGGCCAGAAAATTTTTACCTGAACTATGAAACAAGGAATGATCTTTTCTAAACTTGTCGCCAGAAGTTTGAGTTCCATTTGCTTAAGAATTATTTCAAAAAACCTTTCCGAATTTTTCTGCTTCTGAGGAAAATCTGCAAAATATATTTTGCCTTTCTCCCTATGGCGTCTGAAGGCATATTTGCAAAAGAGAAGCTCATCAATGCAGTGTGGAAAGTGAAATTTTCCGCAGTGCAGCGCGCAATTCACGGTGAGATCGCCGCGCTCTCAAAGTAAATATTGACGCGCCAATGCAGCGCGGTGACACACTTTGGGATTTTCGCTATTCTGTAATTGTTAATTATTTCCACTTATCAGATAAGAATAGCGTCTCGAGGAGCGACTAATGAGACATTCCATGCGCGTGTTGAGTCTCAGGGTGGGCACTGTGATTAGTTGTACCGGGAGAGTAAGTGAATAAGTTATTTGGCCCCTTCGCCTCTCCCTCATTATTTCCACTTTTCCTTGCCCCAACTTCTTCGTCCGCCCGTTGCCAGAGCCGAGGAGCGAGCGAGATAAGATGGAGTGTGTATTTATAGCTGAGATGGCAACGCTAATTGACACAGAAACTCATTATATTGAAATATATATACAATAATGACATATATTGTAATTAATTAGGAATATCATATTCAATGATTGTGATATGAAAAGGAATGTGAAGG